ATATTTTATGTGTTAATATGTATATGCATACACAATTATAAACACTTAAATAGTTGTGAACTGTTCTTGTATGATGTATGGAAACACCATTCCACACTGCTTATTTGGCTGTGTGAGCGTCCGTGACTTTGTATACGAGTCATTGTCCTATCAGAGATTCCCACCTTCCAGTCCAGGAAGTATCTCATTGTACAGTGAGGAAGTTTCACATTCCACAGTCTGTGTAATAACATGTTTCGCTAAATACAGGAAGTCACATTTTGTTATGTCTAGATCCATACTTTCATAGATCAAAGGATTATCAATATTGAATTATCCAGATTATATTGAGTACATGTTGTTTTATGCCGGAAAAGTCCAGCTATATTACAGAGGGTTGTAAATAATCGAATCATGACCATAAAAATCACTGGTTGATGTTATGAGCGCAGCGGCTGACCATTTATTCCTCTTCCAATCATATGGTACTGATCAGTTCTAACCCTAGTCTGTCTCACAGTCCCCGAAACACATTATTTTCCCCACTGCCAAGCTCTCTCTGCAGTACTAAAGCCCTAAATAAAGCAAGTCTAGATTTCCTCAGGTTCTGAATCTCCCTAGGGCTCCTTTTCAATATAAATGGGCTTGTTTGTTACTATGAAAATTATATATTCAGAGACTAAGCCTTAGTCTATTCTAACCCGTGTAATCACGGATAGGTGTACATTTGTATTTCCGAAAGGGTCATTTTCAGTAGTGTCGCTCGTTGTTTGATTCTCTACAGCAGCATGCCCATCGCGGCATAGCATGGCACAGACGCCCAGGAATGATTATTAAGCTAATGGTTTTTTGGACATATCATTGGAAAGAGTATCTTTTTCTCTTCATTTTGTCACTCATACCATGATATGATATATATATTTCAACGTTATTATTTGTATTTGCGAAGTATACGCAATTGTTTTAAGTATTGCATCATTCCTACATATACGCATTCAATATGCTCCGATGCCTATTACAAAAAGTAAGGTGATGTCACTTCAAGATCTAATCCACTTTAATCAACATCTGTTTCGTCAAACATCGCAATATCAGCTTCTAAACACCCATGGTACAATCTAGAACATAAGACAATTTTCATTAAAACGAAGATATATACTCATGCCAATAATGGTTGTCATCCCCCTCCCCACCCCAACCCCACACACACCACACACCACACACCCACACACACCCTCTCCAATAAATTTTTTTGAAGGGGGTGACAACCATTATTGGCATGAGTATATTAGCGTGAGAGACGGAACTTCTTCGCATTTCAAAAACGTGCTTGAGATAACAAAACCAATCCAGCGCTTCAGCCAATGTTAATGTGCACGTCTTAGGTATCTCGAACATTCTTTGACGTCAGTATTAAGGTTTGAATGCAGTGGGGTTGTTGAGGACAACATCTCGGCGAAAAACTGAGTTGGAACAGGCTTTCGTACAGGTACATTGAAAGTGTCCCTCTACGCAAAGAAATCTACTTGTGTCTGTACATGTATGTCGTCCACACCTACACTAGTGGACGTGGATTCTACACTGGTCGGTGTTCCGCTACAATCTGTCCAATTATAGACCCTGCTACTTTAGAACCGACAGACGTAAGTCTATATTAAGGCATGAGAGTTACGATCATCTCAGCGCTACGACTGCCGTAAGTCTTTGGTAACATGTTGGAGTTACGATCACAACTTAGCGCTACGACTGTCGTAAGTGTATGATAAAGTATGGGATGTACGATCACCTTAGTGCTACGATTGCCGCAAGTCTACGTTAAGGTATAGTTACGATCACCTTAGTGCTACGACTGTCGTCAGTGTATGTTAAGGTATGGAAGTTACCGTCAGCTTAGTGCTACGACTACCGTAAGTCTAGGTTAAGGTATAGGGGTTACGATCACCTTAACCCTAAGATCGCTTTGTACAATGATACAGGGCTGATGTTTAAAATCATATGTTTCACTCTTTTTATGACCACCCGTGAAGGTACGGGTTAGAATTTATCTTCAGTAACCCATGCTTGTCGTAAAAGGCGACTAACGGGATCGGGTGGTTGACACATGTCATCGTATCCCAATTGCGTAGATCGATGCTCATGATGTTGATCACTGGATCGTCTGGTCCAGACTCGATTAATTACAGACCACCGCCATACAGCTGTAATATTGCCGAGTGCGGTGTAAAACTAAACTCACTCACTTTTTATGACCGTTCACTACCTTGGTTTTTCGATAATGAAATTTCAAATGATCACGTCAATATGTGCCTCATCGCACAGTGTATGGCGATTGTTATTTCGTCATCGCCGTAGACAACACCTTTATTGATGCCGATCACACGGGGTAAGAGTAGGTTAATGCGGCTTCACGTCGCAATGAGGAATATCCCCATGTACAATAACAACTCCATTTATGATGCGTCAGATTTCATTACCACAGCAACACGTATGACGCTGAATCATTATAACCCGATGATTTCGATTTTCATTCTCAGCTCCCTTGGGATTAAAACGTCATATTGTGAAATATAAAAACTTGACCACGCGAACCTTTGGTTAAAATCATGACAGCCATCCATGCCAGGGCGTGATGACACACTGGACGGTGGGGTAGCCTTGTGGTTAAAGCGTTCGCTCGTCACACCAAAACCCCGGGTTCGAATCCCCGCATGGGTACAATGTGTGAAGCCCATTTCTGGTGTCCCTCGCCGTGATATTGCTGGAATATTGCTAAAAGCGGCGTAAAACCGAACTCACTCACTCACGTGATGACATACAATTAATTCGATCACACTTGTTGGGTGTTACAACAAACAGCTTCACGGGGAGCCGGGGTTCCAAGGTTGTAAGTATAAACTATGAACCAGGATCCGTTGACATAACTGTAATTCTCTTCGAGGTCAATCACGACTAACAAGGGGAAAGTGGGATAGCCTTGTGGTTCAAAGCGTTCGCTCGTCACACTGAGACCCGGGTTCGATTCCCCACATGGGTACAATTTGTGAAGCCCATTTCTGGTGTCTCCCGCTGTGATATTGCTGGGGCATTGCTAAAGCGGCGTAAAACTAAACTCACTCACTGTCTCACTCAGATGTCCCAAGGACATCTATTTCTACTGCGTTCCCTCAGCCTCTTTAGGCTCCAACATAAATAGCATAATCATCACAGCGTGTTCAAATCATAATTCGATAGTTAGAATTTACCGACTGAACAGTAGTGACAGATATAACATATGAACAGATATATTGAGATATGAACCTATCTCCTTATTTTTAAGAGAATATATGCAAACGGTATGCATTATATATGTAACGCACAACACGGAGACCCCCATTGTCAAGCCACTGCGACAAATCCAGATACATTGTAGGAAGGTATCTGATGGTAACTTGGTTGATTTTATGTATAGGCTCATAGAAACCCGAGTTCGAATCTCCAAATGAGCGGCCCTTCTGGGTGAAGAAACACCATAACATTGCTTGCATTTACAGGCGCAAAACATTCTCAGACACTCACTAATACATTGTTGTCGTTGCATGGTGTCATATTCTTCGATAACATTTCAAGGACAACTAGCCGTTTCTATACAGTAAATTTAAATATTGTCTGGCTCCAATCCCATTCAACAACGTTGGAATGCTGCATACATTCGTTTTCTTATGTTTGAAAGAGACGTCGTGTTCCAAAGTAATTTCAGACTTTCATAAAATATTTGACGGAAAGATTGGAATTATGCAGTACACTCCGTTTATATTTCTGGAAATACTTAATTTGGATATGGAACATTTGAATGTAATCTCCACACGCTAGCATCGTTAAAACATCAATTTAGGTGCGGGCATTTGTCATTCAGCTTCAGTAACCTGCTGCTTATCTCGTCCAAAACCTTCCTGACATATGTAACGTGCAATGAGAGTTCAGCCTTTTTTTCTGGTAAGCATAACCGTTACGAACCTTTATGGTGCTGGAGAGTACACATGCGCATCTCACAGTGTCGATATTATGTGCTGTTTTGGCCCAGCGCCAGTATTGTTGACCTGACTTCGATGGGGATGTAGGATGGAGGCGAGAGAGAGAAATCGAGATTAGCGTTGGCGTTTTGCCCACTCCCCCTTAACAATGAGAATACAGGGAGATCAGCGTGTGACGGGCGGGGGGAAGGGCTTTGCCTGGCGGGGCTAGGGCGTTGAGGCCGAGGTGATGAAACAGTCTATATGGCTTACTCATGTCGGCTTCTGCGTAATATTCACATATTCTGTGGGAAGGTTGGTTATTGATTTTGTGATATTAGACAGTGTTAGTCAATCTCCCGCTATATGATACTAATGTCTATTACTTTAAACGGATGTTGCTTAAGGAAGCATTTTATTACTTTGAATACATACTATTTTCGCTGCGTTGTTATGTGTATAATGTATGAAGTATAGTCTTTTAAAGTACCATGTAATTTCAGAATTTGATAGTTTGGATTCAAGTAGTAGTTAATTTGAGTGGTTAAGTTCAGTTTTTAAAAGCATTTACTGTTCAGTTAAGCGAGTTCATTTCAGCCAATAGTTGCTCCTGAAGTCAGTTATGCCCACCCGAGAGGGAATGCGTGTCGTTGTCACCGGACACTGTCCAGCAAACTAGCCATTCAGGTGAATCGAACCCCAGCGTCCACATACATAACACCCCACAACCCCCTTCAGAATATAAACAGCAACTTGTGGGCAGTGTCTGAGGCGAGCTGCTGATTGGCTGAGAAGGTGGCAATTCTTGTTCTGATTGGCTGAGAGGAGCCGTACCCCCACAGATTCTGAATGGACCAACGTTTCCTTCGAAGTGCACTAGGGCAGTGAATTCCTATAACAACAAATGAGAACCCTTCGTTTTGACTTGACAAAAACACATGTCATCTATTGGGAATCACATGACCCAGATACAGCAATTATATCCGAGTGGTTGTACAGAAACAGTTAAAGCCAGCAACGCGCGTAGGAGCAGCAAGGAACTCCGGGTCCTCTGTAGAGTACATTTGTTTACATTTATATAAAAGACGATTGTGCCTCAATTCCTATGTCATTCCCGACGAAGACGCTCGAGTACCTTCATTGTGGACAAAAGATGCCCCTTGATAGCGACTCAAACTGCAGCGCTACAACTGCTATGTTAAGGTGAGCTATTAGTATTAATACTTATTATAGCCATTAATACTGTTATGATAATCAATATTATTTATTTTAATGTACTCTATTGTTAACCTACCATACCAAACTAAGTTTGTTTTAAAAACGATGTATATGACTCTTATCTGTTCATGAATCTGAGATGCATCAGTCCTCAAGACGACGGATCATATTTCTTTATGTATTTGTACTCTTGTGTCTAGCTACCTGACCCTCCGACCTGTTATATATATCACGTGTCCGTATCAACCGCCTACAGATGGCGTGGAGTATCATTTGTTAAAATAACTCGTATAGATCTAACGGTACAAACTCTTGCTGTCATAAATAAACATTCACTTCAGCGTTAAGTCAAATATTCCATTCATAGCTAAATGTGTTTTAAGCATGTATCGATATTGGAAAATATTTGTCTGTTACATGTATGGTGCTTTTAAGTAGTATTTCAATATTTGTTACCTACACATACTGCAGACACTCCGTACTTGTTGCCCGAACACTGTCCCCAACCTCCACCCCTACCGAAGGCAACACTTTCCCTAACCTCCACCCCTACCGAAGGCAACACTGTCCCCTACCTCCAACCCTACCGAAGGCAACACTGTCCCCTACCTCCAACCCTACCGAAGGCAACACTGTCCCCAACCTCCACCCCTACCGAAGGCAACACTGTCCCAAACCTCCACCCCTACCGAAGGCAACACTGTCCCCAACCTCCACCCCTACCGAAGGCAACACTGTCCCCTACCTCCAACCCTACCGAAGGCAACACTGTCCCCTACCTCCACCCCTACCGAAGGCAACACTGTCCCCAACCTCCACCCCTACCGAAGGCAACACTGTCCCCAACCTCCACCCCTACCGAAGGCAACACTGTCCCCTACCTCCATCCCCTACCGAAGGCAACACTGTCCCCAACCTCCACCCCTACCGAAGGCAACACTGTCCCCTACCTCCACCCCTACCGAAGGCAACACTGTCCCCTACCTCCACCCCTACCGAAGGCAACACTGTCCCCCTGATCCACCCCGACCGAAGTATCGCGAAACACCATACATACATCTCTCTTTGTTCGAACAAATAGCTCCCACTCAGAAACACTATCTTTCCGTAAACCGCAATACACTTTTTTCCTCCGCTGATCCGTGATCCCGTCTGTTCATCACTGCCATTATCACCATGTCCACCCATGTATGCCTTCCTTACAAGACAACATATTGTATCATTTACTGATAAACGAATCTATCAAAAATCGTGTATGTCTTAAGCGATCTTTCCATAATCCGCTTTGTCCCACATTGTCAGCATATTCACAGCTTACCTTCCGCGTTCATGTTTCAGACTTTTGCAATGCATTTCCCGAAATCCTAATTACATTCCCTGGAAATTACAACACGTGTAAGGTTTCAATACAGAACATTCTTCGGTTATAGTTTTCAGCGAAGCATGAGTCATTTGACGTTGCTTCGAGAAATGAATGAATCACTTTTAGTTTTTATTGTTCCGATACATTCCACATACCAGATGGACAATCACATGTTTGTCCATAAGGTTGCCGTAATACACGTCTTCATTCTTTACCAAACAGAAACAGGATATACGGCCCTAGGGGACTTTAGATTAAGATTTAGACAAAAAAGTCCTAGACTTTCCTCCTGTCTCTACACTTGACACCACTCTTGTTGTAATTGAGATACCCATGGTGTTTAGAGACAGGAAGCGGAGAGCACCAGTGACGTATGAAAAATTCATCCGGTCTTGACTTGGTAATTATCATTGTGTCTGCGCAGGAAAGCTCTTATTGAAGTTGATACAGACCATACCAGTTGATACAGACCATACCAGTTGATACAGACCAGTTGATACAGACCATACAAGTTGATACAGACCATACAAGTTGATACAGACCAGTTGATACAGACCATACAAGTTGATACAGACCATACAAGTTGATACAGACCAGTTGATACAGACCATACAAGTTGATACAGACCAGTTGATACAGACCATACAAGTTGATACAGACCATACAAGTTGATACAGACCAAACAAGTTGATACAGACCATACAAGTTGATACAGACCATACAAGTTGATACAGACCAAACAAGTTGATACAGACCAGTTGATACAGACCATACAAGACCATACCAGTTGATAAGTTGATACAGACCATACAAGTTGATACAGACCAAACAAGTTGTTACAGACCAAACATTTCTGAAAGTTTTAATCAAACATCCTGTATCACGCATAGCCTCATTATATAAATATGCATCATGTACCTACAACCATTCATGAAAGCTCACTCATATTCTCTCATACGCGTATTTGAGACAGTAACAAAGATTTGCATTATTTGTTATGTTCTCCTGTGTCATGGATGTTATCAAATCCGCATTCTTAGCACAACACCACCCACAGCGGATACAAACCGGATGAGTTTCTAGCCTTATTAATCGGTATTGTACACCCTGATTCTTCTGAATGAAATTCAAGTTTCATGTGAAATATATTTTTCCAATTACTGCCGCATAAGCATATGTGGACCAAAGAAGTTTAGGTTTCATTTAGATCTGTTGTTGATGATGACAGATATACAACACAATAATGTAATTATCCTAAATCACATTTCAATTTACGTAAGACATATCTTTGCACGTTTTACGTCAATGTTTATGACGCCACAGTGCCCCAAATTGCCCGCCTAATGTTTCTGTTCCGAAGTCTCATATACTACTGATGGCATAAAAAGACGATAGTTTTTCTTTCCAGCGGTCGTACCCTAGAGCTACAGCGTAAGACTCTCACATATAGCCAAGCAACGCGCCCATTCAAATACCACATGACTTGTACAAATGGACGTTCCATTGATGTCTTCGCCGCTGACGCCCGTGCCAATTTGTTTTGCGTAGCATGGCTACTGCTTCTGAAACCCCTAAACCTGTCTCTCTCCATCACAACACTGATGCCGTTAAAGCAGAAACAAGCGTGGGCGATAATCAGCACAATTCTCCGCTTCCATGTCAGAATACAAAGAGCAATGACCAATCTTACTGGCAACATGGTTACGGTAGAAAATAATACAGATCGTATTCAAGTTAAGTGAGGCCGTTTATGTCTAATAAGGTTAAAATAAACAGGATTTATTTAACTACTTAATAATAATACAAATAGATTATTATATAAGCAAAACCCTTTCCACACTGACAAGAAATATCTTGTACGATTTCAAACATATGGGTTTGTGAATAACTAAGAAATGTGATAACATCAAGTGTTTGTTATAAGGAGAGCATACATTTCTAAGTACCCTTCCTTAGGCTTAAATGCTGAAATGTTGGTAAATAATGCAGGATAAAACTTATGACAAATCTATATCTACAGAAGATGTCTCATCAAAAATACATGAGGTAATCATAAACAAAAGCGATGTGTACCCAAACTGAATCGTTACCTATGATTCACATTTGGCCTTGTCCTCAACAGAAGAGGTCAACCGGCCACACATCACCAATCACAGCTTGTGTTATAGCAATGTTTACCAGTTAACGGCTCAAGCGTAACGGACAAATGTTGGTTTTACGCCTATTTTATCCCTGGCGCACGGGACCTTTCTTTCGGTGATTCAACTGCTTAACAAATATGTGGTTTGACTGTAAAATAGTGGAGTATTTATAGCACGTTATGCTGCGTTAACACAAACATTGAGTCGCTATTCCATCTCCCAGTTCGATAGGCAAACGTTTCCATTGGAAATCTACAGTACAACATATACCAATAGCTGCCCCTATAAATCTCTCGTAAAAAGGATATTTGCCCTTGTTTGCGAACATTAACATTATAGTGAGAGCTTTTAGGTTGTAACGCCAACTACAGTTACAAAGCGTAATGTCGATCTTTGACGTGTCGAACGTACGGTTGTGTCGAAGTAAAAGCTGGATCTGTATATTCCAAATTAAGTCATCATTTTGCAACTGTGGTGAAACTCCGATCAATCGAAATATTTACGTAGGTCCCATCAACTTCGAGACAATAATATATGCCTGCATTTATAATATATCGTGGGTCCGGAATGCCTCAAGTCGAAACCAGTTACAATGTCAGGTGAAGTTAGGAAGCATAGTATGGCGGAAAGCTGCGGCGTATCTGGGATTCGAACACACGACAGGGCATCATTTATATGCACATTTATAGCACCTTGAAGAGGCCAGAGCATGGTTCGATATTCTGCTGTTTGACACTTTCAAAGGTTTCTTAATTCTTTCTCTTTCACACAGTTCTTGCTGAGGTGTTTCCTGATACCCACTTGCATGTTTTGGCAACTACGAAGATGCTAATTATATGTTTTGGTTTCAGAATGAGCAAAGATGTGACGATTATCAAACACAAGGTTAAACGACGGGACATCTTAGAATTCATCCTCATCGCCATCATCCTGATGCTCTTGACAGCATTGGTGGTAACCTTGGTGGTTCTTGGCCAGACCTCGCGAACCATCGAAGACCATGATACCATGCCGTGCCAGCTTGAACAACGCAGCTTCGCAAAGGACGAATACATCCGGAGCCCAATCCACGCCTTCACAGAACTGAAAGTGGAGGAAGTGAAAGCGGTCATAGACTACCTCATGAAACAGAAATCTCTGGGTCTTTCCACTTTGGAAACGGCCGAAATCAACTCCAACTTCATCCACAGCGTTGAGTTGAAGCTAGCCCCAAAGCAGGAAGTGCTGGAGAATCTCGACAATGGAGGACCTCTTCCTGTCCGTCAGGCTAAAGTCTACATCTTCATGGGCAATGCGACTCCACCTATGGTGCAAGAATACATTGTAGGCAATCTGCCGGACATTTCCTTCCACCAGTTGGCTGAAAACCGTGCAAGAAAGACTCAGGTTCCCTACACCATGAGACCATTCTCTCTTTATGAGTTTAAAGGGATATATAGGTACATTCTTCCTCCAGTGGCTCGCAGAGCCAATAAACTGTTAAATGATAGCTATGGTGCCACGCTATTGGACTGCACGGATAAATGTCTACGATTTTCCATGACACCAGTTTCAAGTGCGTTCATTGGGGAAGGCGAGAGGAAGGCATGGTTCTGGCTGGCGTACGACAAAGAGTTCTTCACTCTGCTGCCACTGGACTTCCAATTCCTGGTCGACATGACGGACGTTCATCCAAACAATTGGACAATTCAACAAGTTTGGTACGCTAATACGTTATTTCCTTCCCTCGAAGATTTGTTACATAAATATGAACATAATCAAATAAACATTACTAAGGTGCCGTACCCAAGTAGTGATGAAAAAGACTTATACAGTTCCCTTTATCTACGGGGACCAACCTTTCCGCGCGAAGACCTACACATGCCTCGTCACTTCCAACCGAATGGTCCCAGGTATAAGGTCAAGGGCAATCAGCTGGACTATATGATGTGGCGGATGAATTTCAGAATGTCACCGACCGTTGGAATACAGTTATTTGACATACGATACCAAGGAGAGAGAATCCTATACGAACTCAGTATGCAGGAAATTGCTGTGTTGTATTCTGGGCATAGTCCGGCTTCCAGCATGCTTTATTTTGCGGACAGTGCTGGTTTGTACGGAACAAGATCTCGTGGTTTACTTCCTGGAATTGATTGTCCCGATTACGCTACGTTTCAAGACATTGAGTTGTTCACTTCCAATGAAGGTGGTATGCGGAAATTCGAAAACGCTTTGTGCATTTTTGAACAGAACACACAGCTACCTCTGAGACGTCACCGCGCCTACAGCCGATCAGGCGCCTTCTACAACGGCCTTTTAGACACGGTACTCGTCATTCGTATCGTCATCTCCGTCATTAACTACGACTACGTCTACGACTTCACCTTCCACAACAACGGCGCAGTACACGTAAGAGTCGTCTCCACTGGCTACCTCACCACGAGTTTCTTCTCTCCGGAAGAAGCGCGTTATGGAACCCGCGTCAACGACAATGTCGTCGCCGGCATGCATCATCATCTTTTTAACTTCAAAGCGGACGTGGACGTGAAAGGTGTGAGGAACAGACATCAGACTTTCAACATCGAGATGGAAAACAAGACCAATGACTGGTCAGACGGCGGCAACAGCAAACACACACAATTATTTTTCAGCAAACACATAAAACAGACAGAAAAAGACGCTACATTTATATATGACTTTGAAAAGCCCCAGTATCTTCTGTTTTCCAACGCCGACAAAACTGATAAGTATGGAAACCTGAACAGTTACCGGCTGCTGCTGCATGGGATGACGAAACAAAACCTTCCGTCGTGGGATGGGTTCGAGAGTTCGGTCACATGGTCGCGCTACCAGATGGCGGTTACGAAGCACCACGATGAAGAAGAAACGAGTAGTTCCATGTTTGCCATGTGGGATGCAAGAGACCCTGTTGTCAACTTCCAGAACTACATCGACGACGATGAGAACATCGTGGATGAGGTAAGAAAACACATTTGTAACTTGTAAAATGGTAAACACGGGAGTGGGTTCCAGTATGTCCATGCCACTCTTGACATTTTGCCACGTCAAGCTTCGAAACAAAAAGGCCGTTTCTTCAAAGAGGTCATTTGTGGAGTTTGAGGTTTATCAAGTGTCATAAATGTCAGGGTCAAAATATGAGAACGTTTACCTTTCTGTGCCAGGCATATATTTAGTGTCACTTTATTTTGCGAATTGATAACGATGCATGTCCTGGCCCCGATTTCTCGAAACAAACTTAAGTCTGAGTTTCAACTTAAGTTCGAGTTTTTACTCAAATTTGAGAAAATGCATTTCCCACAATGAACTAAAATCGATATTAAAATCAAACACAGTGGACAATTTGAGTTTGGTGGATAGATTACTTAAGTTGTTTGGGCTTTTTTATTTCAAAAATGCAGTTGAGTTAAAAATTCAGCTGTTTCAAATTGTCCAACTCAGTTTGAAATTTGAGTAAAAACTTAAGTTTGTTTCGAGAAATCGGGGCCTGGTTGACATCAGTGCTCACCAAACTGTCTCGGCAGTCTTCAGTTAGATATATGTATCTTAAACTGTCAATGCTTTGGTGTGCGTCGGACCACCTGGACAGTGGTGATCAAAAACGCTTCTTTTGGGGAGGAAGATCAGGAGATGGGTAGGGTACTAGTCTATTAGATATGGTTATAACTGAATAACAGGAACACCGACGCATACAGAGCAGCGCATGCGCAAGGCCGTATTGCATCATTCGTCCATGACATTGAGTCGAGATGCTGATCCACCTAGTTCCCAGTGACATAGACATCCCTTTCCGTGACAGGTCAAAAGTATCTGTCCAGGAATATATATTCCAATCTGTCTTATCTAAATAGATGCTATGTGGGACCGAATCAGGATAGACTTGGAGATTACCACGATCTCAGTAAAACTAGCGTTAGTTGTGGCAGGATTCTTAAACGTCCAGGCGATAAACCTAAGTCATACGTGATATCAAATTTTGCCACTGCGATACAGCTCATTTAATATTCGAGCAAAAATGTCACAGATATTTACAAACTTCCATTAGTCCGACGTCTCCATACATAACTTTATCTGCAAATGGTTAAAGCATGTACATTTTCTTCGTCTAAAATGATTTTCCCCGACTGATAGCTTGGTTGTGTATTGAAACCATGCCAACATAACCTTACTACGACCGCAAATAGCAAGAGAAGGTTAACAAGTCTTCAAAAACAAGACGTTTCACGTAAATAAAACGATACAATCATTCAACACTCACCGTACTGGGTATATAGCATATCCTGTCTCAAACCTTGCAGACTTAAAAACAATTACGGCACATTTGAAACATGGCGAAGAGGGTGATGTATTCCGTTGGACTTTCTTAGCCCAGTGACCTATATTATTGGCAAAGATACGTAGTAGAACATTTGGCTTGCAGCCCAGTAGGAAAAACGTAGATTCCAGAGGTTTAAATATCAAAAATAATGTCGAAACTGACGAAAAACATACATTTCTCGCATTCCCATTTCAGCATGTTGTGTTTATATATAATATTCAGATTAAATGACCGAAGAATTATCTTACGGGGGGCATGTAAACAAATTTAACACTATTTAACGTCTGATATATATTCTGTGCCTGATATTTTACTCTGTTGGGAAAATAAGCATTGTCTATGTGTGCAAATTGTCTTCAATATATAAAACTATGGCATTAGAAATCGCCACTAAAGACGTAATTATACGATTCCGAGCATGTCGTAAGAATTTTTATATAAATTGCTATCAATCAAATAATACATAATCGCCGCTTTCTGTCACAAACTTATGCAAAGGAAAGTCAAGATTAGAAATGGCCTATATCTGTCTACTGTGAATTTTGTTTAACTCTTCACCAAGGCTTTGAATTATGTATGTTAGCCTGTTAAAACAATATTTGCCCAATATTCGTTTGGCGCTCCCCGAAATCTTCGGAGAAAGATGTGACACCAATGGCTGGAGTGAGTGAGTGAGTTTAGTTTTACGCCACTTTTAGCAATATTCCAGCAATATCACGGCGGGGGACACCAGAAATGGACTTAACACATTGTGCACATGTGGGGAATCGAACCCGGGTTTTCGGCGTGACGAGCGAACGCCTTAACCACTAGGTTACCCCACCGCCCCACCAATGGCTGGAGATGATGGAGGACTGACATAGGAGATAGTGTGTTGAAATTTTAGATAATGATTAACTTTATATCTTTCCATTTTAAGATACGATTATGAAATTTTTAAGCAACTAACTTGATAATGATCTTGAAATATCGGAATACTATCTTCCGATTTCAGCTTATAGTGTTAAATGTTATTGACGCTTACTTCTTGAAGATAATGTACATGTTTTGTTAGTTCATTGCAATAACTGGAAATTCCACCTTACACTCCTTTAAGAAACTGGAATCTATGAAAATAGAACAAAACCCAAATGGCCCTAAATGGCTTTCATACAATCCTCTTGTGAGTCAGTCGAAGGGGAGTATTTGGACCCATCATATTGCATGGATCTAAATATGGACTTCAGACGCTTCATTGCATTGTACAATTACCAATATATCTGTACGTGAACCTTTGCATGAATGAAGCCTCATCTCTCTTTTCAAGTCGTAAAAGGATTGTGCAGTAAAATCTATTGTCATTCCTGAAGCAGTAAATTTACCTTCTATTTCAAGCTTTCGTGTGTTAAAAAATATCCAGTTGGCCGCACCTGAACCGCGACCCTTCGCGTCAATGTGTACGAGCGCTATATTTCTATGTCTAAGAAATCACTAACGTTCGGCCATATATAGCACAATGCTTATAATCCATGTCGTTGTATTTTATCACATCTGGCCTATCAAATAATACAAGTAACAAATCCTTTTCATACCCATTAGAAATCTTTGCATAAAGCAGAATCATTGTTAGGTTCCGAATGAATCAATATCAAACAGCGATGATAACCCAGTGGTGGGACATGTCATGAGTTTGGGTTACGACTGTCGTAAATGCATGTTACTGTATGGGAGTTACGACGATCGTCTTAGCGCTACGACTGTCGTAAATGCATGTTACTGTATGGGAGTTACGACGATCGTCTTAGCGCTACGACTGTCGTAACTGTATGTTAAAGAATGACAGTTACGACCGTCTTAGCGCTACGGCTGTCGTAAGTGTATGCTAACGAATGACAGTTACAATCGTCTTGGCGTCACGACTGTCGTAAGTGCATGTTAAAGAATGACAGTTACGACCGTCTTAGCGCTACGACTCACGTAAGTGTATGCTAACGAATGACAGTTACGATCGTCTTAGCGCTACGGCTGTCGTAAGTGTATGCTAACGAATGACAGTTACGATCGTCTTAGCGCTACGGCTGTCGTAAGTGTATGCTAACGAATGACAGTTACGATCGTCTTAGCGCTACGGCTGTCGTAAGTGTATGCTAACGAATGACAGTTACGATCGTCTTAGCGCTACGACTGTCGTAAGTGTATGCTAACGAATGACAGTTACGATCGTCTTAGCGCTACGGCTGTCGTAAGTGTATGCTAACGAATGACAGTTACAATCGTCTTGGCGTCACGACTGTCGTAAGTGTATGTTAAAGAATGACAGTTACGATCGTCTTAGCGCTACGACTGTCGTAAGTGTATGTATGCAGTTAACGAATGACAGTTACGATCGTCTTAGCGCTACGGCTGTCGTAAGTGTATGCTAACGAATGACAGTTACGATCGTCTTAGCGCTACGGCTGTCGTAAGTGTATGCTAACGAATGACAGTTACAATCGTCTTGGCGTCACGACTGTCGTAAGTGTATGTTAAAGAATGACAGTTACGATCGTCTAAACGCTACGACTGTCGTAACTGTATGTTAAAGAATGACAGTTACGATCGTCTTAGCGCTACGGCTGTCGTAAGTGTATGTTAAAGAATGACAGTTACGATCGTCTTGGCGCTACGACTGTCGTAACTGTATGTTAAAGCATGACAGTTACGATCGTCTTAGCGCTACGACTGTCGTAAGTGTATGTGAAAGCATGACAGTTACGATCGTCTTAGCGCCACGACTGTCACAGGTCATTCGTATGGACGTATGTCCTGACACCACAATTGGGTGAAAGAATTTCAGCGTGCGAGTGAGAGAGTTAGGAAGATGACCCCCGCCCTGGTGAACCCACCACAAGCACAACAAAAGAATACACTGATGCCCACCACAACCTGGTACTGAACAAACAAGCTCATTACACTCAGTGGGTAAGCGGAGACCACAAGCTTCTCGTCTAGGCCACTAGAAACTATCCTTCATAAAATCTACATTGATCAAAGGTGTGTGCCCGAAGGGTTTCTAAAATGACGTGGGATGAAATGAAGTCTACCCTGGTCACTACCTGTAATGCCCTGGTAACCAGATATAATCACAATCCAGAAAATGTTCTTTTTAGGTAAGTGACAGGTGACGAGACCTGATGTATAACTCTGGCCGAATCTGTGAAGTGGAAACACTTGAAGCACCCCAACCCAAGATGTCTAACCAGTCAGACCCAATAAGGGCAGCATTTTTATTTTCTGTGTTTCTCATCGCCGGACCGACCCTTCTAATTTCAAGGTTTTCTTGCGTTGATCTGATGTACCCCGTAGCTGCACTTGGATTTAAAAGATTTTATTTTAACAAATACATTGTTCCAGAGAATGCTTGGATATAATAAGTATGCTTTAGCCTATTAAAAAATATATAAATTGCCCGCCACAACAAAATTATTTTTTGTAAGATATTTTTCTCAGGAACAAATATAAGCTCCCCCGTCTGTTATATTTTCATCGTTAATCGCAGTCTGTTATCTGTTAATGTCCCTTCCCTACTAACAACTGATGCTAAAACAAATATATTTAGTCGCTCGGGAACCGGTCATGGCACACCAATTAATGATCGAATCTGAGTGAGTTTAGTTTTACGCCG